TCTTCTGCTTAGGGACGGCAGCATAAATGTGCTCATCAACATCAGCAGAAGTTTATTATTTTTAAGAACTTCCTATGACTTGAATAAATCCAAAAGAGGTCTGAAAGAGCTTCCAATATAAAATAGTTCTCTGTTTGTCACTCCATTTGTATTATATTCATAGGCTTCTTAATCTTACCTTATGTGGTGCATTCCCCAGTGTGTTGACCTTGAAGAATGTGTAATATGAATCCTATATCCTAGACCTGATGATGGAATTAAGGAGAAGTTAAATTGAGGACAGGACAGGAAGACTAGGAGTCATGCCCCTCACCTTCTAGCCATTAGAACATATGGGACTAAAGGGTGACTTTCGAACTTGAGCCATTTCTCTGGGGTTCTGACATACCGTTCTGCTACTACAGCTGCTTTCAGAGTTTCATTTTGAGCTGCCTGCACTGAGTCATATTATATTTTATACAACTCAAATGGTAAACAAAGGCATACTTAAACCTTTGTGGATATTAGTGACTACAGGCATATCCAAAGTAGAGATTTTAGCAAAAACTGGGAAAGGAGCCACCAACCCTATCCTGCATTCAATATTCATTTACCATGCAACCTGTATTTTTGTGGATGGTCCTAATTTCATTTATTCTGTTTTATCAACCCTGTAAATTCAGGCATACTTTAAAAACCAGGTGTACTAATATTTTGTTGGGAAATAGTCATTTTGGATTCCTTGGATGGATTTCCTAGACTTTTATTTATTTAATTTCTAATTTCTGTTATGCTTTCTACTATTGCCAGTTGGTTTATTGTGTCTCCTATTAAGCCACATCCCTCTGTAATTGCCCAGGGTAGACTCTAAGGCTTGGTGCCAGATGGCCAGGTCCTCTAACTTGTCCTAAAAGAGAAATCCACTTCACTTACCAGGAAAACTCTTATCTACATTATCAGACTTTGCTATTCTCCTAGTTTATACTTTGAGTAAAGGGCATCAAATACCCACTGAAGTGTTTTTTTCTTTTTCCCTTTAATTTTTGTAAATGCTTGGTAAATAATGCTATTTTGTGTTTAAGTCCTGAATATATTATGTCAGCATATGTTTAGGATCATCCTAGAGATGATCATCCAGCAGTACTTAAAACATGTGCATATGTGTGTGTATTTATGTATGCAGATAGATTTGTTAACATGTGAATTTACCGAATCGATGTCCTATTTCTTTGTTTTATTCACTGATCAATACTTTTTTAAGCTCTGCTGTTTCAGTATATGTGAGTCACACCATTCACTTTATCAACAGCATAGTATTCTATGCAGTATTTATGTGCAGTCATAATTTATTTTATATTTATAGATATTTAGTTTAAATTTTCCCAAATTATTAATATTTCAAATGATGTTGCAGTCAAGTTCTTTGGACATTTATTTTTATATTCTTAAGTGTTTCTTTAAGAGTCAGTCCTACAGATGGCCTTTCTGATTCCAAGGACATGTATATTTATAATATTCATAAACATTCATTGTCGGGTTTCTCCTCTGCTCATGCAAAAATACTGCATGTACACTCTTAATCATCCCTGGGAGAATTTGTTTCTTCTCCTTCTCCCCCAATACATGTTATTAGATATTATCAATCTTTTTAATTTATGCTAATCTGATGGATGAAAATATTTATTTCTTGTTTTAATTTGTATATCCCTGATTAAGAGTGAAGCTGAGCAGGGTTTTCCTATTTTTTTTTTTAAAGCAGTGCTCTCCAGGAGGATTCAACAGCTGAAGGTAAAAACAAAAGCTTAAAAATGCTTTAAGAAACTATAGGAACATATATAATTACCTGGGGAGAAATTCATAAAGTAAAAGTTCACAGATTTTTTTTAGCCATATCTGTTAAAAAAGTATACATGCAAAAAGCATTAGAATACAGTTAAATACTGCCTCTTCACATGAGGAACCCTTTGCTAAATAAGGCAAACAAAACATGAATACTCAGAACATTATAAGGCACTCCTACAAATCAGTCAGAAAAATAACTCAAGAGAAAAATGTGTAAATAAATTCTTTGAAGAGAAGGAATCCTGAATGTCCAGTAAATGAAAATCCTTAACCTGCTTGCTTTTTTTTTTTTCTACCAGCAATATAAAACAACTGTCTTATATCAGCCATAAAGATCTTTATTCTCTTAAACAATTATATAGATTATTTATTTATTTAAACATTAATTTATTTATTTAAACATTAATTGATGGATACCTAGATTGTTTTCTATTTTTGTCATGGTAATTCTCCAATATGTTTATTTATATGCTTCTTATTTGGATTAAATTCCTACTCATTAATTTGCTAGGTCAAGTGACATACACATTTAAAATCTATTGTGTATTATAAAATACTCTCCAGAAAGAAATTAATGAGAGTGGATCTCTCATCACAAACTACTAATACAGGCATTATCAGGTGTTGGTTTTTTGATTGTTGTTGTTGTTTTGTTTTTGTTTTTATTTGAGACAGGATCACACTCTGTTGCTCAGGCTGGAATGCAGTGGCACAATCATCGCTCACTGCAGTCTCAACCTCCCAGGCTCAGGTGATCCTCCTACTTTATCCTTTTAAGTAGCTGCTACTATGGGGACTAAAGGCATGGCAGGCAGCATCATGCCCAGCCAAAAGTTTTTTAATTTTTTTGTGGAGATGGGGTTTCGCCATGTTGCCCAGGCTGATCTCGAACTACTGGGCTCAAGCAATCTGCTCACCTCGGCCTTCCAAAGGGCTGGGATTATAGGCCCATTGTCAGTTTTTTTAGTCTTAGCCTATCTGATGGGTGAAAATTTCTACCTTATTTGAAAACATTTGTTTCCTTTGTTATTGGTAACATTTAGTATCTTTTAATGTTTGTATTTTTGAATGTTTGTATTTTTGAATGTTTGTATACCATTTGCTTTTGTTTATTGTTTTGTTTAGTAATTTTCATTTATTAATTGCTTATTCTATCGTCTACTGATTTTTCTATTGGTACCTGTACTGAATATGTGAACTCTTTATATATTAATGGTATCCCTTTTCTTTCACTGTCACCTATGTTACAATTTCATCTTTTTTGTCACTTAACTTTTCATGGTGTTCTTTGACAAAAGTTTTGTGTGGTCATATATGTCAGCCTTATGTTTTTTAGTGTTAGCATCTGATTGTTATTACTGTTGATATACAATAGGATAGTTAATGCACTTCCTTCAGTATGCATTATTTTACTACTTGGAATCTTTATTTCTAGAAAAATATAGAAAATTGATTAAATATGCCACAAGGATAACAATTGTCAGTGTCATGTAAGTTTGAATATGCAGTTACTGTAATTTGTTTTACTTATCGTGTTTTATTTGCCAGTTTTTTAGACATTAATATTTCTACATCAATTTAATCATCTCCTCATTATTTTGTTATTTATGTCACTTAAGATCTGTGTTTTCGCTGTTAGATCATTGTTTTATCTGCAGATTGTATTCTCTTCAAAATGAAGAATTACGTCTCCTTGTTTAGGTCTATCATGGCACCACTTACCTGATAATAACCACTTTTGATGATGGCTGCAGTGGTGGGACCCTAGAAATAGACGCATAAGTCCTGGCAGGTTACATAGCTCCTACAAACTGATTGTAGATCCTAGGAGCAACAGACTTTTTAATATCCTTTTGCCAGATTGACCATTATATTTAAAAGAGAGAATGGTACAGTGTTGCTGTGGAATGGATCTACTATGCATATTCTCACTGCTTTAAAAATCACTGATCATATAAAAAGAGAAGAATGCACTAGCTTAGTGTTTGATCTTGACCACATAGATCTAACGTCATGATCAATTGCTTTCAGCATTTTCTTTGAAATCACATAAGGTTCATATGTGCCAGATTTCATAAGGATCACATGATAAGGTCAAGAAATACAAATTCCAAGGCAGAATTTATATACCCACTTCACATATGACAGTAATACTAAATAACCATATGTTGAATATAATACACTGTATGTAAATGCTATTCTTGAAAGGAATCCAATCAATAAAACTTAAAATAAATAATACTTTAATAACACATTTCAAATAGACTGAAAATGGAATAGATGGACTCTATGGCAAGAACATCCCTATAAAACTGACATTCAGAGGCCATTAAAACGCAGAGAGTAAAACAATTATGAAACTGAAGAAAAACTGTGAATATTTAGAAGTTTTTTAAAAGCCTACTACGTTGTATGCCAAGATACAGCAGTCGTTTTTATTTAAAGAGCTATTTCAATAAAAACTGTGGATTCCTAAGTATTAAAAAGCAAATTAAGTTTGCCATAACCAATACCCAAAAATATTGTTTTAAAAATATACAATATTACCCAGAACATTTTTAAAACACATAGTATTAAAAAGAAAAAAAAGTCAAAACAGAAAAAACTCATTTTCATTATAATTGGAACTAGTAACAGACCGACCAATTTTATCATTAAAGAAGAAGGTTATAGGAAAGCTACTGAAGTTAACTTCAAAGGCCTAGCAGTAAAAAGTAATTGTAATATCAATAAAACTCTGAAACAGATCAAATAGCCCCTAAGTAGTACTTACCTACTCTATCTTTGAACATGTATATGCCTTTTCTTAAAGCTGACAAGATTGCCCTTTTTAAATTTGTTTTTAATACCACAATTTTAAAAAATCTAACTATTAAACTGTTGGCAGCTCAGAATACAGAAACTTTACCTTCCTTCATTCATGACATGAATTAAGATTTGAACATTTCTTTTCCTCTGTCGCAGTTTTGAAAAACATGGTTTTGTCATTCCATGTTGTACAGTGATAGTTTATCTTTTTCATCATGAATGCTTGTTTACTGTATGTGTACAAATGAAACAATAAAGCTTACATACAATTATTTAACTAGTTTTTTTCTCATTGATTAACTTAAAGTCATAATCAAAATGAGATGTTTGTCATGTAATTGATATTTTTAATTTTAATTTTGTCACCTTAGATCCTGGGAAGACTCTGCCTGAAGCCCTTGATTATCGCACTGTTTGGCTACAGACAGTGCCTGGAGAAATAGACAGCAAAAGTGGTATTCCATCTTCCCTTATAACGCTACAGATTAAAGACTTTCTGAATGGACCAGGTAAGAAAGTCATAAAATGTGTGTACATTTTTTTCATGTGAATATATTAATGTGTATATAGGATCTGTTAGTAATCTTGACGTTCCATGCAAAAAATGAATAGCTCATTTTTCCCCAGAAATGTATGCTTTTCAGTCTGCCCATTTTAGAGATCAAAAGGCCTATATAAATATGCATTAAAAATTACCTTCAGTCTAATACGAAGGTAGTTATCAATTAAAGAATAGTTGAAGCCAAACCATCATTCTCAGCAAACTGACACAAGAACAGAAAACCAAACACCGCATGTTCTCACTCATAGGTGGGTGTTGAACAATGAGAACACATGGACACAGGGAGGGGAGCATTACACACTGGGGTCTGTTGGGAAGTGGGGAGCTACGGAAGGGATAGCAGGAGGTGGGGAGTTTGGGGAGGGATAACATTGGGAGAAATGCCAGATGTAGGTGATGGGGGAATGGAGGCAGCAAACCACATGGCATGTGTGTTCCTATGCAACAATCTTGCAATTTCTGCACATGTACCCCAGAATTTAAAGAATAATAATAAAAAAAGAATAGTTGAAACCAAAGCACCAATATTTTATTTCTACCTTTTCTATTAATTAACTGTTTGATCTTAGGTGTTGATCTAATCTGTAATTCAGTTTTCTTACCTGTATATGAAGAGGATAGACTGGATGAATTAATGGATAGGAAACATGATATTTAGATACATAAGATAGTATACTATAGGTAGATTAAATTTGATAGTTAAATGTACCTGTTTCACATGCTTAGCAAAGTGCTTGAGACATAGTAATTACTCAGTTTTAGATAGATAGAGTTATCAAAATGTTTTGAGAGCTAATTATGTCTTAGGCACTATGCATTTTAGTTTGCACTATAGTTATCCTATTTAATGAATAAGGAAACTAAGACTAAAAAAGTGAAGTGAATTGCCTGAGGTCATAGTGACAGAGGAGCCATTCAAACCTGTCTTTATGACTCCAAAGACTAGATTTTAACTTCTGTACTATACTAATTTGGGCATAACTAAAGATTTTTCCTTTCTTCTACGATCTTCCTCCTCTGTCTTTTCTTCCTTTATCTCATGTTCTTCCCCTTCTGTTATTTCTCCCTCGCCTACGTGTAGTCTTAGCTATTTAACAGGAATTATTACATTTCACATTTTGTTTTGTTACTTTATACTTGCAGTGCTTCAGAATGTTACCTGTGAAATGAGTATTAGTTTCTTCATTAAGATTTTTATTTCATTATATTTTTTGTTTACTTATTTTTTTTGAGACAGTCTTGCTGTGTTACCCAGGCTGAAGTACAGTGGTGCAATCATAGCTCACTTGGGCTCCAGCAATTCTCCTGCTTCAGCCTCCCAAGTAGCTGGGACTATAGGTGTGTGCCACCATGCCCAGCTAGTTTTGTTTGTTTGGTTGGTTTTTTTGTAGTAGAGGATAAGGTCTTATGGCATTTAACATGACTCAGTAGTAGAAATGTGATTTTTAAAGTAGTTGTACCTTTGTGTTTCTCAAGATACTTTTCAAAGTTGGGAATTAAATATATACAATTTCTGATTTTATGTCTATGCTATAATAGTGATAATATATTAGGAGAGTTAAACTTTTAAGTAAATGAATTGAAATAGTTATTTTACAGCAGCACTTCTCAAACTTGATTCTGCATTTGAAGCTTCTCTGGGGAGTTTGTTAAAATGCAAATGGTGACTTAATAGTTCTAGAAGGGAGGGCTTGAAAGTCATGTCTAAAAAGTTCCCAGATGAAGTAGAGGCTGTTGGTCTGGGACTGTACTTTATGTAGCAAGTTTTATATGACTCTTATCAAAATTATCTTTAAAAATCATATATATGACTTATCATATATGATTTTTGTTTTTTAGTATCAGTCTTTGAGAGCCAAACCGCGGTAATTTTGGGGCACAGGACAGGGAAATGATAACAAAGAAAGATGAGTGGCTTTTAGAATGGTGCTTTGATTATGGAAAATCAAGTGTAATGTCCAATGAATGATTTAAATTCTTCAAAGTCTAAAACATTTTAAACAAAAGTACTTTTATAATTTTTTTTTAGTTTGAGAGAAGATTAGTTTAAATGATAAACCAGCTGTGTGTGACTTCCGCTAAAACACTAATCTAACAGCCTTGAACTGCTTCAGAATTTACTACTTTAGATAAAAATTTTCTTACTGTAAGCAATTCATTATTTAGAGTAGATAAGTAGATGTTATTTCATAGAGTAGTTATATTATCTCACTACACAGCCAGATTGGCATGCTACTTACACTAATTTAGGTATCAAAAGGCCATAGCAGATAATGAGAATTGTATACCGCTAATTAAATGGGAATAACAGGACACATTAAAACAGCTTTTGCCACATGAATGTATCATTTTATAGATTTTGGCAACTCAAGGAAATCATATTTTTTCCAGTTCTTAGGTAATAGGATACTAAGAGGAATATCATTTATGTTGAGATTGGGCAAACAAATTTCAGCTTTATAGTGTTCCCCAATAACATTCCCTTTCCTTAAAAAGAAAAGCATTACAAAAAAAAAAAAAATAAAAGCACTACAGGTAATACTTTTAGTTTTTAGGAAATGTCATTGTGTTATCATTTGGAATATTTAGCTACTTTTATATTTTAATCTGTATACATATCTATTTAAGTATCATTCCAGAGAATGTCTGGAACTGTATTAGTAATTTTCATCTATTTTTTTCTTGTTCTTTAATGAAGGGTATCGTAACAATGAAAGTTATGACCCTGAATTAGCCAGGCATGGTGGTATGTGACTGTAGTCCTAGCTACTCAGAGAGCCGAGGTGGGAGGATTGCTCGAGCCCAGGAGGCCAAGGCTCCAGTGAGCTGTGATCATGCTACTCACTCCAGTCTGGGCAGCAGAGTGAGAACCTGACTCAAAAAATAAATAAATTTACAACCCTGAAAGGTAGAAGGAATATTGATTATAAATGTCTAACCATAAGCTTTCTTCAAAAAGATGTGAACTTCACAGCTTTTGAAATTTAACCTTTCATATTCATTTTGCTGGGATTATTTTCTCTGAACAACATGATACAAATGTTGTTCTTTAGCATTTGTTTTTAGAAAAATAATTTAAGAGTTCTTGAGTTTTCCCTTATTTCCTCTATTAAGGTTTCCCCATTTGCTCTATTAAGGTTCACTTAATGATACCTTAATAGAGCAAATGGTGTGTCCCAACTTCCACATCAGAAACTCTTTCAAAGTTCTCCCAACCCCCAACCTTTTCCCCTTGTACACATTAGCAAGGTCAGTGGCTTGGAGAAACCTGGAAAACAGCAGCTACCAGAAACCCACTAGAATAATATCTCCAGCAGGTGATAGATTAGTTGGAACAAATTGGAACCATTGCAGTTCAGCAATCCTGGTTTCTTTCAAGCTGTTTTTAAAATGTCGTCATTTTAATACACAATCTAAACCCTGCAGAACAGTCCACAGCAGGTTAATTTGAATCATATGATGTGTCACTGCCCTCAGCTGACATGAGCTCTATTCCATGTGTGAAGCCATAATAAATCCATTCCCAACCGAGGAAAATTCCCCGTGAGAAGGTGAACTAATCCAGGCCTCACACTGGCATGCTAGCCCTCCATAATTGAAAGCAGGGCCACCTGTTCCCAGCACAGCTAGCCTATAGAAAAAAATTAGCATTAGATCAGATACTTCTTATATTGAAAAATCAATCACACTTCTTGCAAATTCAAATTCAGCTGTGAAGTGTTTGGTATGACATCATACAGAAATGTAGGAATGTGCCCACTTTATCCCATTTTAAAAGTTTTGTTAACCATAGGATTTCTTAACTTTGAAATGAGATTTTATTTTTTAATTTAATGAGAGCTGACATGTGAGAAGAAGAACTGGAAAGGGTGCAGATTTTTCTAATTAACTCTGGGTTATTTGCAAAAACATTTGAGCTCCCTGGTATTTTTTTCATTGTTCTCTCACAAATTTTTGAGCCACTGTCATTGTAGCCATGAAATGACATTTAAATGACAACAGAGAATAAAATTGCCAAATTGGGAAAACATTCCCAAGTCATTTATGTTTTATTATAAATTAATGCTTAGCATGCCACATTCATCACATAATTTAAATAACATGGTTATATCAAACACAAAATAATGAATGCAATTTCACATTTCTTTGAGTTTAGTATACATAGTGTCTGTATTTGAAATGCATAGCCACTGATCTTTTTCTCCTAATACAATCACTTCTTTAGTCTCACCCTGTTTAGCTCAATCATTAATTTACCTATCTAGTTTTCACTGTTTCTGATTTCATTCTGGTGTTTGATTAGTTTCATCTCTGGCTTTGATTTTGATTCAAAAAATCTGTTGACTTCAACAGGTTATAATCCTGTTTTGAATACAGTTTTCTCCTTATATTTTATGAATTAATGTAACTGTTTTATAGGTTACAATGATTTTCATTTCTACCTTAAAATAATTCCTAAACATCCTTAAACAATTGCATTTCCACAAACCTCTTTGATTTGAATGAAAATGTGTATTTAAATGTTGTAAAATAGTAAAAGACTTCTTAGGTACAGTAACACACCATTTGAATAGGTTTGTTTATGTGAATATACAGTAGAAATTTTAAGTTGTTTACCCCCAAATATATGTATTTTTTAAGTGTTTTTACCTTCCTTGGTTAACCCTGCTTTTATATTATTACTGAATTTGTTACTCAGTGGGGATTAATTCAGACATATCTTGAAGGTAACTGATTCAGGAGGATTAAGATACCTGGAAAAGATTAATCAAATATTCTCTTGATTCTTCTGGAGTAGAAAATGAATAATAAATAATATGTTTTTTAATCTTTAAATTTTTTTTCAATCGCAAATTACAAATGGATATTTAGTTGCCTAGTTCAAGCTTTATTGAAGTATAATTGACAAATAAAAATTATAGACATTTAAGGTGTATAATGTGATGT